TTTGTTCACTGCGTACGATTTTTTATCTTCTGGTTTTTCATTTTTGGGACTGCAAACGTATAAAATCACACTCATGCCGTTGGTTTGGATTGAATTCCACATGCCGCAGTATTTTGAGTCACCGATAATTGGGATCATTTTCATTCAAATCCACAGGCCTGGATGTCCCAACGGAAACTATATCTGAACGTGGTTTCTTTAATTCTCTATACCAGGTCAGAGCTTGTCTACCTCGCTATTTTTTCCAATCTGATCCATTGCTACTTGGACACGATGGAATAGATGTTGACCAGGCATTCGTGGAACGTGTCCTAATCGCCTCAGACAATTCAATGAAATCATCTTTCCCAACGGAAGACTGCCCATCCCAAACACTCGTAGTCTGATTCTATTGTTACTCACTAGGTGCTCCCACCAATCGCGGGTGACGCGATGCAGAAAACGGTTGGCGAAAACAAATAGGTGTTGGTCACGATCCGCTCTAAGAAGCCCGGTTTCACCGCAGGTATCGGTGCGTCCTTGAAATCACAGGGTTGTATCGCACCGGAGCCAGCCATTTCACCCATAAGCAAGCGCCAATTTTGCTTTCAATACGCTTGAAATCAGCTTACCTACATTTCCGCTAGCCATCGCGAGGAACATTACATTGCACTGGTAAACATGGAGAAACTTGTTGTGAAGATGATTTTCTTAGCTCTGCCCTAACACGTTTTTTCTGTCTCAGTGTCACATTGTTCTGTTGGCTCGCTGTTGTTTGTCGGCACTTGACACTCACGTATCCGGATAATCATGTATGACATGGTTAATGGTTGTTCCAATTTAGCTACATCAGGCTTTTCGAAGTGTCAGAATTAAATAAGTGTCGTCCCGTTTCCCTTGGATTTTATTACCTCATCCAAGTTTTATCGAGGTGGTCAATTTTAAGTTTCTTATCCACCACTATTGCCAGTTTGTAATGTGAGTATGTATTCGTGTACGAAGTGCGCCAGTTTTTAGGTTGCCGGTAACTCTGTTTTCGTATCTTCTTTCAGAATCATCCGTGTGTTCATTGAACTCGCTGGATTATTTTCAATTCAAAGCGGATGCATTTATGTCATGCCAAAACTGCATTTCGATGTTTTTCGAGATTCTCGATGTATTTTTTAACCTATTTTTTTATGCGGTTTTAAATACACTCCGGTTTTGTACATTCCAATCTGTGCTATTCTCGCACGTCATATCATCCCTAGGTCAGACCGTGTAAGGCTGCACTCAACAGACTTTTGCCTTCAATGCCAGGTAGGAAATGTGGGCAGTCTGTGGCTTATTGCAGTCGAACGCAACGCAACGAATCAGAGTGAAGACGATGCAACAAGTGGCGCAAACCGTGTGCACGAAACTACCATCCGAAACAATACAGTAACTAAAACCGGGCATGCACTGTGCAGCTAACTGACCGTAACTGCATTCTAGAACCCTCGAACGATCAAGCAAATTATGTAAGCTGGAATCGCTCAAAGATGTGTGTCAAACTGAAACTGATAAACTTCAGACAACAACGTGAGCCGCGCACCATCCCGCCTTTCGCTGAGGAATAGTCTGTTTATGGTCGAGGTTTTCCGTGACTTCAGTTTGATACGTTGCCCCATAAAGTGGCTTCATTTATCACAACCCCGTAGCAAAAACGGTCGTTGCACAAGCTCTTCTCGAGAATAAAAAGATCCGGTGATTTCTTTCAAGATTGTGATCCAAAACAACGTGATTTCACTATTGATTACATTCCTTTTTTCTAATGANATGACATCCGGGAAAACTCGTCACTTTTGAACGCATTCCTGAGTCTTCTTCTTTCTGTGTAGAAATCAGATTGCGAAACAATTTTTGGGAGAAAAATTCCATTTCTGTGTGGTCTGGTTCGTGAAAACACGAACATAGCATGATTTGTCGAATTCCCGTTGTCAATCAAGTCTCAGTTTTTGCAATCATCAGCCGTGTACTTTTACCGGCGGTGTTTTGTTGTTGTCTCATGACTTCGTATTTGGAGGAAGCAGTGGCGGGAAAATTGGAATGTTCAAATCAGTGCCAGAGTAAAAATAGACACCTCATGGCTGCAAAAAATTGAACATTGACATCATTTTTGAGAGAAACTCCATTCGGATGGCAATGCCTTGATGATATCCTGCACTGCTGAGGTGTCATTCCCTCATATTGTGATAGTCAGCGTACATCGCAATGTGGCTTATTGTCAGGAAATTCATCGATGTATAGAACGAAAAGGTGAGAACTCTGTGGAATACCTATTGTCATCAGGGAAGGATTAGAGGTACCTGCTTTAACAGAGAATTAGTGACTGCCGTGAAGGGTACAGAGCCTACCATTGATACCGTATTTTCTAGCCTGTGTAGTAGTGAAGAATGCGGCATCGGGCGGAAAGATTAAGAAAATTAGATAAAAATTGCCTGCGAGGTTACGCCCTCTTCGTAGGTTTTGGTCAGGCTTTCCATGACATACAGCATTTTAGTAGTGCTTGATCTGCTAGGAAAGTAGCCGCATTGGAAATGTATTAGAAGGTTGTTTTCTTTTATGTGCTCAAGAATGAGTCAATTAATGAGACTTCTGTGGGCGCGAGCTGTGTTATAAGCTGATGGAAGTGAGTTAGGAATAGGTACCCAGCACTGAGATATTGTGATCCTGACAGAAAGAAGGTTGTGTTGAAGCAATTCACGGGTTCGTGATTATTTCCCAAATGTCCGGGGTCCTTAAAAGGTGGCTGCTTTTTCTTCTCGTTGAAACCATTCTAGGTCAAAGCACACTGAAAGTATATTAGTGGGATTCGCACACTCGAGGCGGAAAGTAAAATGAAACAGTGATTTTACTCTTTTAATACGAATGAGTGTCGAAGTTATCGCTAATTTTAACATTTGATGTATGTTTATTAGCGTAAAACAGTTAAGATCATCCGAGTAGGGGCATGTAGATGGTGGAATCGAGCGGATACCATGTGTATAAGAGCACACAAAAGTTATTGTATCTATTTCTTTTTAAAAATGTTCCGTTTCATGAGAGTGGTGAGTCAAGACGGTGGGTGCTGCCTAACTATTCAAGGAGGGAGTTCCATAGGATTATCACCCTGAAGATGAATGAGAATGCACTCAAGGTAGTTCGCTGACATGCTTCAAATTTTTTTACCGTCACCTCGAGCGGGGTTAGAGTTAGCAATGATGAAAGCTTCTGAAGTACCCGTGTCGAAAAATGCCAGAGGGATATATCCCTCTAGGTATGGGGAAGAGGGGTAAGACTTGGGAAGATTTGAGTCCAACCGAACTGCTGAGATGAAGGCGTTTCTCTATAGTTCGGCGTCTCAAGGGTCAACTTTAGGACCTTTTGGCTTCAGCTGCTAGAGTCTCACGTGCAAAGATTTGTCTATGGAGACCCATCAAACCTAAAAAGGAGAGTTTAGTGACTCGATGGTTGCTGATATTCGTCAGAACCTGTCACTAACGTTTACTCACGTCCGTTTTGAATATTCGTCCCAAATGGAAACAGAACCAGAGATTGCGCTTATTGAAAACAATATATTCTGAGATCTTCAGAAAGGTTGGAAGTAGATTTAGCTAGGCCTAGGCTGATATTTAAGCAACAGCAGTGGAAACCTAAAAGTAGATCTGGTCAATGCAACGAAAGCGTACGATACAGAGCTCACCGTGGGGAATTGTGTCGGTGCACGCTTTTCGAAGATAATAAAAGAACGCTAATATTTGAAGTAAAACTTAATCCTGGAAATGTCCAAATTGCTTTATCCAATAGAGGAACTTTCCTCAGAGTATAGCTATCGCCAACTGATGACGATGACTGCTAAATCTCGACGGTACACTTGATTGTGTCCGGTGGATAATGGTCCTTAAAGAAAGAAGGGAAAAACCTGACGGTATTTTAACTACCTGATCGATAACTAAGTCGCTACTTGATTTCTGAACCTTCATGGTTCTGATAGGTACTCCATGGTTATGTACCATGCCTTGATAGTCCTCAATTATACAGGACTGGTTAGAAACTGAACGTATCCTGCTGTTAGTCACCAGCGTAGGNGTACGATACAGAGCTCACCGTGGGGAATTGTGTCGGTGCACGCTTTTCGAAGATAAT